AAGGTCCCCTGCAGAAAACCCTGGCTGCCAGGTTCAAGAACCTCAGATCCTCAGGGCTTGCTTTAAGAAAACATTTCCACAGGGCACCAGTGAGTTGCCCATGGTAAGAGACTGGATGCTATTCAGGAGCTTCTGTGATGTATTTCTGCTTGGCTGAGGGACCAGGCACAGGAGAAAGTGTGTGGGACTTTATAAAAAGGTAGAAAAAGCCTCCAGTTAATCCCCCAATACCAGAGAAATTCATGGTAACTGAAGTGAACAACACTCCTTTATTTCTTTTTCTAAGGAGATCTGCTAAATAAGCAATAGTAAAGTGTCTGGAAAATTTCAAGAACAAGATATTAAAAAAACCCCACAACAACAACCAACCCAATTTTGATTCTATTGGTGAAAGGAAAGGCACAAGTTTGCCAGATAGACAGCAGTGAAACTGCAAATTTGTTGTTTCCCCTATAAAAAAATATGCTTTGGCTGTATTTGCTGCAAACCAGCAGGGACCTGAGGCAGTTATTGAAACAGCCATTTGAGGGCTGTGATGGTGACTTGCAGGGAACAGTGGTTCCTCCTCCAGGGAGGAAAGAAAAGGTGAGAGACTCACGTGTGGGAGAGCTTACCCATGAGGCTGGCAGCTACCTGCACAGCCTTCCTACCAAGCTACCCACACTCTCACTAACACCCCAGTGGAGTAAGTTTGTAGGTTGTCAGGCTGCCAAATCCCTAACCAGACATACAGAACATTTACCTTAAAAATGCCAGGCACATTTTAGAACAAGAACAATCCACAGACAAGAGTCGCGCTGCCCTCAATGCCTGTACGTGAGAGCCCAGGGGTCTGTTGCTCATGCTACTTTGGCTGGTGTTCAAACGCTTGAATAAAAGAGGAATGTTGGGCTGATTTTCTGTCTAGGGTTGCAGTACTGTTAATTGTTTCACGGACATGTCAGGTCCAAGCAGATGGCAGAGAAGGAAGTGAGTTTCTGACATTTTGATTTAAAATGTAATCCCTGTAATTATGGTATTAGTAAATATATAGAGGTGCTATTTGTTTTGTAAGAGGTAAATTCAAATTCTTTGTAGAGCTAAGAAAGCTGAAAGCAGGAGAATTCATGTTGGTAGCTCTTGCGATCCTATTGCAAGCATTTCCGTAGCGAGGCATTTTTCTGAAGGCTCTTGCTCCTACGCTGAAGAGAACATAATGAGAATGTCAGCTCTGCTTTTCACAGATCAACATTTCTAGCAAAGTTTGAAAATATAAATGTTAAAATCTCTCAAATTCAAAAGCAATAAAAAGGCATTGGGAAGCCAACATAAATATGCATTGTGCATTGACATATCACATTTGGGGTGACCAGGTCCTCAAGACTGCAACAATGGGTGTTGACAAATGGAAACCTCTTTTCACTCAGGTTGATCTAAGCCACCAAATCCCTTCTTTTCCCCTCTTGGATTTTGACCATGACATTTTGGCCAGCGCTGATCAAGGCAAGCGCTGTGCTGCCTTCTCTGCCAGCCTGCTCGTTGCTGTCAGACAGAAGACCTGCTCTCCAATGTGGGGGTTGCAGCGCCCGCCCTCCATCATGTGTCTGCCACACACAAGTGGCTTCTTTACAGACCAGCTGTAGCTTTGCCTTTGTGGGTAACACTGACTACAGAGAAAGGACCCAACTTACAGTCCAAAGGACTGAAATTTAACAACTGTAATTTACTCCAGAGAACATTTTACTCTACCAGCTGTCTACACTCTACTCCACACTCGAAGAGTGTGTTGGTGGAGCAGGTCATTGACCAGCATGTGAAAGGGAATGGTCCCTTCACGACATGTAAACTTAAGTCACGTTTTGTTAGGAGAAACTTTTAGCCCTTTTTAGCTTTTCAAAGATACATCCTGGAAAAAAACAATCTCTTCTTGCCCAGGCAAATTTGAAGACTTTTATTTATCTGGGATTTACAGAAGTTTGACAAACTGTTAGATCATGTATCAGTGGTCAGGATATAAGGTAGTCCATCCAAAACTAGCACATCTGTGTGAGTCCTGCACATGTTCAGAACTGCTGGGACATGATCAATACATTGTGTTCATGCTACCCAGCCTACATGCACATCTGTGTCTCCTGGGAGATCCTTCTGGAAAGTGTCCGTAGACTGTGCCCTCATAGATCAACCACACAGAAATTCTGAAAAGAAACATGTGGTCCTCAATGGCCCTTTGTGTCCCCAACCAGTTGTACTCAAGTGCCACAATGAGCTTCAAAATGGGGAATTTTGCACGCTAGCTAAAAGGAGAGAGAGTAATTATGCACTTTCTGCTTTATCATCTAATTTTTGCGTCTTATTAGCTTGCAGTGAGCCTTCACACTAGTCTAGCAAGTGTGTGCGTGATTTTTTCTTGACTAATATAAGAACAGAAAAGCCACAGACTGTCATCTCTGTGAAGTCCAAATGTGTCATGATGAGTGCCAAAAAGCTGGGTGTCATTTACTTGACGAGTTGTGGACCCTCACCCATGTCTAGTACTTATGCTGTTGCACAGATGTCCCAGGATATCTTGGCACATGCGGTGCTTTGTGGGAGCATCGTATCCTCACTCTCAGCCTCCCACTAAGGAGGTGAGAGGGAAGGCAAGATATTATGGGAAAAAGACCTTGCCTGGAAAAGGCAAGAGAGAGAAAATGAGCTAAACTGCAGTGGCACAGAGCTGCTTTGCTGGCTCCTACAAGCAAGACATGTACGCTCCTATGTACATATGTGATCCCACATGAAACAGCTTCAGCCCCACCATGCAGTCAGAGGCAGTATGGCACATATGTGAAGAGGATGTGATGAAAACTCACTTCACAGTTTTGTGTTGGAGGTCCCGGGGCAGGTTTAAAGATAAAGAAAAGCACTCTAGGCCTACTGTGGAGTTCCAGTGCTGCAAATGGGCATAAATAAGCATTCCTGCCCAAAGGATGTGGCCCTGTGCTGTGCTGCCCGCTGCCGTTCGCTCTCTCCCAGTTGTCCGCATGTGCACCAGCTCGGGCAGCAGCTGCCCCATGGAGCATTCCCAGACGCGGGGCAAGGCACGGCTGCACACACATTTGTCCCAGCCCTGGACACAGGTGTGAGGGGCAGGAATGCACAGCCAGGGATGGGAATAGGACAGATAAGAGTTTTTTTCTGAAGATTTATTGCTTCATTAAATGATTGGTGGAAAAACCTTATTGCACTTAGGTTACCTGCACATTGACGAGCAGTGCAGACCTAAAGGAGTCGATCTGTAGAGCGAAATTATCAATGCCAAGGATCTGGTGTCAACAGCAAATATGATTTTGGTTTTTTAATTGGACTAGGTCTGGTTGGGTCCCATGGGCTGGTTGTGCATGGGTGTGCTTTGGAAATGCGTGCTCTAGCTTAGGTTCATCCAAAAGAAATCCTGTTTTTGTGGTCTGAGTGTGCTCCAATGGTGCAACCCAAAGCACAGTAAGGGGGGGACAACTTGGTGCTTCACTTCAGCAGTGAACTCCTGATCACACTCCATCTTCTCAAGTACACTGTAGTGAAGCTTTAAGAGAAGCTGAGCTGCACACAAAGTGTGTAGAGGATTGTGCAGTTATTATTCTCCATTTTCTTCTGCTTCTTCAAACTGCAAATTACCATTTGGATTCCTTTATCCACAGAAACAGTGGGCAATTGCAAGGAATTTCAGCATATCCCTGGTGAGTCTGGCTCATATCTCTGCCAGGGCTTCAGAAGAAGTAGCTCAGAAGTTCTCTTCCAGTTCTGCTGGGATTTTCAAGAGAACGTGCTTTTGCTCCCTTTCATTAGGAAGGAGAATGGAGGGAAAGGTCTGTGCAATCAGCATGTATGCTAATTTAAAACCTTGCTGAGTTGTTGAGCTACTAGCCAGGTGCAACACTTCTTAAAATACAGTGCATTCATTTTTTCTTTCAGTAATCTATAGGGAAATAATTACTGTAAAAATCCTTTTTATCCCTGATGTGTACCCAAACATATGAATTTCATACCAACATTGCTACCCTACAGGATATCAAATACATTTGGGGATAAAGGTGATAGGTTCTCTCAAAATTATTACTTTCTGTAACTTAAAGTGATGGAATATAAGCTGCACTTTGCATTTGAGATAAATTATTTATGCCATTAAAGTTGTTAATACATTCCATTACTGCAAAACAAATCTGACATTTTGGGGCCTTATTCTCCAAATTCTCATACCTGTCCAGTGATTAATGCATGCAGAAGAAAAATGCATGCAAAATACTGTCAAATGAGAATGACAGCAATTTAAAACAACTTTGCATAGGTGTAAATTACTTTGAAAGAGGCAATGACAAATCAGGCCCTCTGGGCTGTGTGCTTTCAACAACCAGCTTACAAAGCTGCGTATTTTCCTGCCTTTGCAAATACAGGCATCACCACGCTGACAGTTCTGATTTCTGAGACACATTCTTTCAAAATGGACTTTTAGCAGCAATCTCAGCTGCCCTGTTCTGGCTGTGCAGATGTACAAAAGACTGAAAATTGGGTCGCTATTTCTTTATTATTCCCACAGTAATTCTACTCATCTGTTTTAACAAATGGGCATAGTGATTATTTTGATCTTTTTTGTGAGAGTTGTAGGGGGAGGAGAAGGAAACATATGAACCAGCTGAAAGCCTGTCTATCAAGTGTCAGCCTAGCAATAATTGTTACCGTGAGCCCAAAATACCCCAAACCAGGGCTGTGGAGAGAAACGAGAATGAGACCTTTAAGTACCCCTCAGTTAGAAAATTAAAACAAAATAATAACATTTTATGGCAGTTAGAAATTAATATAATTGAAAGGAGTAAGCCAGTGGAAAGCAGAATGGTGTGTAACGCGTGCAGCTACACGAACCTGCCTTCCACTCGTTCAGCCACCATCTAGGTGCTCGTAATGTTCCCAGTCTAATAAACGGGGCTATTTATGCAACTCGCCTCTCCTCAGCTCAGCGTTACAGTTCATTTATGCATCGTTGTTACCTGGGCTGGAGCACTGGATGAAAGATGAGTCAACTCTCCGATTCGGGCAGCAGCTCGTGGGTCGCTCGAGCTGATCAAAACGGGAGCGCTAATTTCCATGGAGTGCCTGTTACTCATGGCCTGGGAGGATTTGTGGGTCATACTGAGAGCAGTGAAGGAGTGGCGCTTCTTGGCATTCTTCTTGCCCTCAATGTGCCTCTGGATGGCACTGACCGCTCCTGCACTGTTTAAGGTAGAGCACTGCGCCAAAGTGACTGCCAGGGCGGTGTCAGATGGCAAGGGGACATCACAGCCAGACGCGGCAGCTAAGCATGTCTTGTCCATCTCAATAAGCTGTTTAGCTGATTCGTTGAGCTGAGTGCAGAGAAAAGAAGAAAAAAAAAAGACAGAAACAAAAAAGAAAGAAAAAAAAAAAAAAGAAGGGGGAACATTAACAACCTGTCACAGCTTGATGATGGCACCTGCTGGATCTGCCTTGGGAAAAGCACCCCCTGGGAGAAAGTGTCCCTCGAAAAAATTCCACGCTCCTTTCCTGGAGGTGGTCTGTGATTTCTTCTTGCCAACACCTCTCCCAGTTCAGACACCAGTCTGCTGATGTCTGCTCCGGTTCGTAACGCAGAGCAAACCATTGCTCCTGGGCAACATTTATTCCACTGCCATCATGAGGACACTGCGGGCACGTACAGGAGCAGATCACAGCATCGGAGGCTTTATCAGTGTCACACTGTCTACACCTTGCCAACATGCCCATTAATTCCTCACTATTCACAGGCTTGTCACCATAAGCMTATTCTTGAAGTTTTGCCACACAGGCTTTTGGGACAGCTTCTAGAACTTGCTGATTTTATCTCCCTGCCTTCCACCTGTCATAGGTTATCTTAGTGCAAAAACAAAACCAAGGCATTTTCCAGCTGTATTCCTTCTGCCTGGGAGGGTCACGACTGCCCCTGAGGGACTTTGAACGGGTCTCTGAAGGGTTGAACGCTTGGCCTTCAGTCCACCCAGAAAGTACAGAGTTCAGATAACACCAGGGTACCAAGGTCAGTTCTCAGGCCACTGCTCTTTCTATTCAGTCAAAGCCCACAGAAAATCTCCAGATAAAAATGCAAAAGGTACAGTGTGTGGGACAACAGCATAAAAAGCATCTTGCCTCCTGGCTAAAATAACTTGTCCGAGAAAGCTACTTCTTAAAAAGTTAGACAATTTTTTGGCCCAGAGGAGTGCTACAGTCCCTGACACATGAAATACACTTTGAAGTTAGCAGCATTTTCTGCAGGTTGCTCTTTGCCAATAGATCTTCCCTCAAGGGGTGCTAACAGCTGAGAGAAAATGCCACATTTTGCCAACAGACCCTTATATTAAACTAGGATGCAACACAGTATGTTTGCATTTAAGGACTAAAACAACATATGAAAAAAAGAACCATGGCTAACACACACATGCTTCTGAATACAATACCATTCTAAGGCTCACATAAACCAGAGGTACGTGAAATACTACTCTCTACTCCCCCAAAAGACTATTTGTATTACTATATTCACTGTATTAAAAAAAAAAAAAAGAAGCGTTGCTGCTCCAAGCAAAGTCAATTGTCAATTTAGAAACCTAATACAATATAAAATAAAGAGTAAAAGAAAAAGAGGAAAGGGAAATACAGCAATAGCAGAAGTGTGAAGTTAAACAAATGTGCAGTTGAGTAGCTTTTATGGCTTCAAATCACTGCCACCATGCCACAAATATAAATAAGAAATAGATAAAGCCAGCCTTATACCAGTCTTCCTAAATTTGCAAGTACTTTGATCTCCACAAGGGATCACCTCTGAGTAAAAGGCAATAAAATTGCTAGCACCAGTAAGCACCAGCTTGCACAATGCTTCACTCAGTGAGAGCCTCCACCAAGCCCACTGGGAGCTTCCCATTACCAAAGCCCCACCACAAGCTCCCATTCAATTTGCAGGACATTTCCCCAGCTGCCCTCTCCAAGAGCAGCCCACGCTTGCAGCCAACATAGTGCTCTGCACCTGCTGGTCTTTGCCAGTGACAGCTGATCCCATTTCAGATACCTCAAGAATGTCCATTATTTCCCACTTCATCATGCTCTAAATTGGTTCAGCCTCATATTTGCCAGAAGGTCCCAAGGTCCAAGGAAACCATATGGTTCCCCTCCCCTAAGTAGGTGTTACGGCTCTGCTTATCCAATTCATGGGCATGGTCTAGCTAAATTATTTGAAATGTTAAGGAGAAAATGAAAAAGGACATCAAATATACATGATTCTTTTCTAGGGGCATTGTGGGCAGTCTCTAGTAATCGCTATTAATCAGAACAACAATGCTTTTAACCCTTTTACATAAGAAGATATAAAAGGTCAAAACAAGAATTTCTGAATTGCCTGATTTTACAGAAATACTTCACATAGACAGAGAAGTGCTTCAGCTTGTAATATCAAAACACTGATTTTTCTTGTAAGAATTAGCTTATAAGCCATTCTGGCGAGAATCCAATTTGCCACTGAATCTATTCCTCTTAAAATAACATTTACTTTTTTTGTTCAAAGCAAAATCTAGTTAAAAAGGTCACTAAGAGAGCTAGCGCCTAACATGGAGTGATAAAAAATAGCCATCTATTGATATAAACAAAATCATTCTCAATAGCAGCAGAAGATTTGAGGCAAAAAGAAAATCACTTCCARAAACAGACAAGCTAATGAACTTCTGGGATTGTCAAAGCCTTCCTGAAATACTAGGAATAAAAGTGTTTTGGTCTGGCAAGATAAAAAATGCCTTGGAGCTTTACCACTTTACTGTTGTTCTGACTCTTGTTTTTCAACAATTTTGTGCATGGATGCTTGAAAGTACTTCCAAAATAAAGGTATGAATGCCAGAGAACAGGTTCTGTTTTCTACTTACCAAAAGTAAATAGTGCTGCCTTTTCATAAAGAATTTTAAGGAATTCTTTATGAATGTGATTTTGAAACTGATTGTATTTCTTTTTAAATTCTAAACTCTGAATATGTAAGCAAAACAGTGCTTTCTGGTGTCTGTCTTCAGATCTTCTTCCAGATTTGGCTCTAAGAAGAAAAGTTTAATGTAAAGGTCTGACCTAGAGCCAGTCACAGGAATCAGACATTTCTGAAAGACTGCACCTCCCAGAACAGCTCCTAATACCAGAATTCAGCTTTCTTGCTCATTTTTGATCCTTCCTCTAGAAGGAACTGGAGTTTGAAAATCTGGTCCTGCTACTCCAAAATAGCTAAATACCCCTGCGGTTGCAATGGGACTGATTTTAGCCCAGATCTATTCTGTAATAATGAAAAGCCCTAGGAAAGTCAGCAAACAGTGCAGAGGGATACAGTCTGGATTTGTATGYCAGGCCAGTCAGACAGTCCCAGCAGTTCTGCAATCGTGAGTCTGGAAATGCAAAACCCTGCAAGGCTAAGCCCTAAATTAGGTGAGGGACAGTGCTGGATGAGGGATGTGATGAAACACTAAAGTAAAAAGTGTTCACAAGGTCTCAGTGAATACTGAATGTGGGTACTGCATGCTAAGATAAGGACGTACCAGCCTCAGTTTATAGAGTTACTGAGCCTGTTTCTTATGCAGGTATTCCCCAGCTCTCAGGAACTTGTATTTTAGATAGCTGCAGTCCATCTCATTTTGATTGTGTGAAGGAGGGATTTGGAACATGCCTTTGTACTGAGCCTTGTTCACCTCCAAACAACCTTTTCCCTCAGAGGGAGCAGTAATCAAGCTCCGTTCATTAAAAATTTGCTGACCTTGATCTGAGAGCCACATTGCTCTCTCAGCCACAATACAAGCTGTCATGAGTTTGGCTACCAGCCAGACGGTCCATACAATATGAACTAGGTGAGAAATTTTTTTTCTTCTTCTGTCTTTTAGATATGACTTTTTTAGATACTCTATTTGAGACTTTCCCACATGGTAAACAAAGGTACAAGCATCAGGCCACCCCGCTCAGGACTTCTCCACTGCCAAAATCATTGTTTTATTAGTCTCCAGATAAGTTGCACTTTTCTGTAGAACACATTATGGTGATTTTCTTCTTCCCTCCCTCTCTTTTGCACATCCTCACACATACACAAACACCCTCACGTCCCCAACACCCACCACTTTATGATATGTGTGTTTAAAAGGGACTAGTTGGCAACAGTTTGAATAGATTTCTCAGTTAAGGATGAGCAGATACATGAGAGAGATTTGCCACCTGCACTGTGTATCCCAGCATGGCCCTAGATACTCCTGTATGTCCCCATGTAATTAAATGAATTACAGCATCAATGTGCAACATTGTGTACCTACACACACAAGCTGGGATGAGGAATGAGGTGTCTACTGTGGACTGAGTGGGTTCATAATTCTAGTTTTAGAGCAAATGGCAATTTTTTATGCCACAGGACAAGGGAGAAGCAGGGAAGATTTGGGTCAAAATTAAACAATTAAACTTTGCTGCTGTAGTCTGTAAGAGCAGTATTTCAGATAACTTTTTTCTTAACGTGCCTGAACCAGAAAAGATCACAATATATACTCAGTTGCAGCAGCAAAAATGTGGCAGCACAACTTATTTTCTTTGGGAAACCAAAATACATCCGTAGTGGCAAACCTCCTGTTTTACTAATAAAAACTGCATCTCACCTAACAAATGTGCCAGCACGTTTAAATCAATCAGTAGTACCGGCATTATTCTAGTGCAGCTTAAACCTCCAAGAGACACAGCAGCTCCTGGAATGAAGCAGTTTACTAATGGCATTGTCTACTGTAAAACAGAAGACATTAAGTCCTGTATTGCTACCGAATACTTTTACCTGTCTAGTCATTTATGTGTACATAATAGATTCACTTTTGTTTGATATCTGCCTACTAGAGATAAGCCATCACTCAGTTTCCGCTTTAGCAACATTTAATACAATGCACTGACCAAAGTGGGACAAAATGGGTGACAAATAGGACAAATGAGTGATGAATGGGAGAAAAAAGCCATTCTTTGAGAATGAGGCAGGATTACTTAAATTCTCCAAGTTAAGCACAGGCTTAAGCAACTTTGTTAATCAGAAGGCATTTTGAACCAGAAAGTACAATTTATTAAGSCTTTCAGGAAAGCAGAACTTCATTTGGTCTGTAAGTTTTTTTTCTGTCTTTATAGGAAAAAATACCTAAACACCTAAGTGGTGGGGCAGTTGAAATACAGGTGTAAACTCAGATGCTMCTTCAGGCCCCTTTGAAAAGAAAAAGGTTGAAAATTTAAATTTCCACAAAATCATATATATCTACTTAAAAAGGATAAAATAGTCAGAAAAAAAAAATCTTAGGCAAGGTCCTAGGCATAGRCATAACTAAAG